AACGGTCGAAGTACGGTTCGAAACCACTATGCGGCTTCAGAGTCACTAATCATCACGACGGAACGGCGACCCAATCCGGTATCCCATAATGAAATACCGACGGCGCTCCTCTCACTTCAAAAACAGACCGCCGACATACTTCTACTGGGTGCCCGTGTCCGATGGTAAGGAGGGGGCTTTTGACCCCTTCCAGGGGTGATAAGCTTCCTACCGATGCGGCCGTGGGTCGCCCTTTTTTTTCGCGCGTGGCACATTCACAGATAGGATACTTGTGCCTGGCCGTTGTAGGCCGCACACCACAAAACCTGTAATTCGAGCCGTTCAGCTTTCCCGCGAAGTGACTAAAAAACGAAAAGGGAGGGCCGCGCCTCCAAAATCGGTAAAGTAATAATAATAATAATAACAATAATCGCAGGAAAAGGAAAGGTGGCAATTCGAATTTCCTCCGCGAAGCAGTCCCGCCTGGATAGTGGTGTGAGTCCATGCACAAATCTAAATCCCAACTTTTTGACCCTTTTCCCCTTTTTCCAGGTCGCTGTATCTATCCCTTAACATGGCTACTGGGGTCCTACCACGCAGTTCGAACGAGCAGGTCCGACACAGGTGATGTGCAAGGGGTTGGTGAGGCCTAGACCATGAGACCGTTCTCGCAAACCAAAACCTGAATCGACGGCCTCCCCTACAAAGTGACGTGACCCAAGAAAAGGGAAATTCTAGCCTGAAACTGGTAAATCAGTAATAATAATAATAATAATAATAATAATAATAAGGAAAAAGAGAAAAACTCAACGGTATAGTGACCCGATATCACTAGATTATCTCAGATTAAGGCAGGGGTCACGATCTAAGTGTCGTTCAGACGCTCAACTTTTCTTTTTACCTTGACCTGTTTCGTGTACATATCCCATAACCCTGTACAGGGGCGCTTGGCGAACAGTTGAAAAGGCTGAGCCAGTCTTCTCACCTCCGCGTCCCAAGGCGAGCCCGACGGCTACCACGGCCACAAGCCGGTTGTGCTCTGCTGTACAGCAGGGCGCTGAGCCTGTGTGGACCAATGAAAAGCCCTGCGGCGCACCTTTTTGCTACGCCAACAGGGTTGGTCCGTGTCGAGACACATTGCAAGTACCAGGCCTACAGGGGTTCGAAAACCATCCAGCAAGCCGCGGGCCACAAAATGAAATATCGATGTCGGGCGGAGACTTTGGCACACAGAGGAGGGCCGGGATACCGCGCCCTCCGAAAGCGGGCAAAGCGAGCACATCGAGAGCTTGCCTGCTGACCCTCGATTTTTTTGGCGACGTGACATATTGTCATCCCCCGACCTCGCCTTCCTTCCAGGCGGCAAGGGTGGCCGGCAGGACCAGGGACTTTGGCGGCGACGAAGCGAGGACAGCTGCCACGGAAGACGTGACGTTGCCAGTTTCGTCGACGTCAGGCGTTGTGGACGGACGGGAAGACACGTTGTGGTCGCTGAGGATACCGTCGATAACTTCGTCGATGCTTATACGCCGACTTGTTTTAGACGGGCTGATAGCGACGGAAGCCTCGTCAAAGCGATGTTGCAAGTCGACAGCAGACATCAGTGGTCGGGCCGCATAATCTTCAGGCTGTGCGGAAAGGCTGCTAACGACCTATGTCTCCATCTCTATTGCCGTGGCAGCGTCATCGATATCATCCTCATGATGCTCTCCGTACAGTTGTCCGAACTCGTCAGACGACTCTCCAGATCCGGCATCGTCCTCACTGTGCTCCACTTCGTCGTCTCCAAATCAGGCACCCTCCCTTTCTTCAAGCAAACCAAGTAGCTCCGTTTCTCCCGCTTTCTCCCCTTCCTCCTCTTCTTCCCCTTCTTCCTCCCCTTTTTGCGCTCCCCTCCGTTCCTCCATTTTCTCCCCTACTTTCCTTCCACGAAACTCATCCCCTTCCGTGGTATACGTGCTGAATCCCGAGAACCGCCCTTCCGTCTCCGTGCACGCTGCCCCTCTTAACGGCACGACTATCCCTGGCCGACACCCCCCGCCCGAAGAAGTTCGGATCTCGGCGGACTTCGTCGTCTCCATGTCGCCGGACCCTGTACTTGCAGCCTCTTGCTGCAATCCTTGCGGTCGTCGCTCCTGCTCAGGCGACACCTTTCCGACGTTTCCGTCCCGCGCCGCAATGCTGCCAATTTCGGGATCCTTGCTTGGCTCCCCCGACCTCGAGCGGCTTTGCATTCCGGACCGCTCTGGCAGCTCCTCAGCGGACGTAGTTCAGATCCCGGCAGACTTCAACTTTCCGTCGGAGCGACTGCCCAGAGCAAGCAAGGCTGCCAACGTGTCCCTCGTTGAGCCCACGGTCGAAGTCGGGAGGTCAGCGGACTGTGTCGTATGCTCCGGCCAGGTGCCTGTCGACGGAGGCCGGTCGACGGCGGAACCCGCCACACCGACGCTGCCTCCCGGTGTCGTGTTGCGGCCGTGAGACCCCCTCTCCCCACTAGGCGGGATTCCTTTGCCACCCCCCGCGCCACCCCCCCATCCCCTCCACTTCTTGGTGCCCCCGCCCAGGAACTACCGTCCGGGCCACTGGGAGGGGGCACTTTCCAGTCCACCACGCCCTTCGACGGACTCGTGTCGAGGTCGTAGTAGTCCTCCGTCAATTCCAACCAGCACTTGTCATGAAGCTCGTCGAACAGTCGACCGGCTGTGGAAATGAGGGACAGGGCGCCGGGTGCAAATGTGGCATTCTCGGCCGTCACTTTCTGGAGGACCGAAATCCTCGCGAGGTGCAGGAAGTTGGACTTCGACTCGCGCGGGCATGACACCCATCCCGCGCCCGGGATTGCGACGGCCATGACCCACTCGCCCTTTCGTATCGCTGGCAGGATGACTCCCGGATGCCACACCATGTCATGGCCCCATTCCAGCTAAGTCGAATGACGTTGTGGCTCAAGCAGGAAGTGGATATGGTCATCCTTCCAAGATGGATGATCGGGAGGGATGTCGGACCCGGGACACAAAGCGGGCAAGGGGACAACCAAAGCTCTGAGTCTCTCCAGCAACTTCATCGGCGTGGTGCCCGGTGCCGGTTTGGCCGACGGTGACACGAGGGCTGCAGCGCTCGGTGACGGACCAGCCGGCGAGGATCCTCGGCCGTGATCCGCCGGAAGTGGGTCGTACTGCAGGTCAATGCTCTCTGTGTCGCTCTCCTCCTCCTTCGCGTTGGCGATGAACTCCACACCTGTGGCTTCCTAGTCATCAGTGGAGATCAGGGAAGCGTAACTGGCTAACTTTAACAGCTCCTCGGACTCCACGTAGTACGATGACTGCAGCCTATCGAGAAACGTCTTCGCGTTCATGCCGGAGGCGAAGTGGTAGTTGTCGAGCAGTGCCAACATGTGGTCCTTCCGGCGGACGTACTCGGCGTCTGAGTCCTTCCTCGACCGTGTTTGAAAGAACAAGAAATCGTATATCTTGTTCCTCTTCCTCTCGCTCAACTTGAACCACATATCCGTCTTGTTGCTCCACACCTTATCTCGTGTTGGCTTCACGACCATGAACTCACTATTGTGCCCGCCCGAATTAACCTCGCTTTTCACCATCTGCATCGTGAATTGCAAGAGCTCGGTGTTCCCTTCCATCGCGACAACGTGCCGGCCGGCCTTCAGAAGATCCCAGACGCTTTGCGCGTGCGGTTCCCCAAGGAACATAACACCCTCTCCCTTCTTGCCAAGGAAATCAAGAAGACCGACGAATTGTATCGGATTGCATTCCATATCCCCGTAGACATTGCCCTGTCGTTCCGGCACCACCAGCGACCAATCGCAAGGCACAAAGGGAATCTCGCACACATCCGTCTGGGTGACCCTCTGAGGCAATCGCACCGCAGCAGCGGCACCCCAAGGTAGGTTTCCCTCGTAGACCACAGACGTGTTGGCGCGCAGATCGTCACCCTTGAAGAGGATGTACATGCGGTCTTCCTCCGTGTACAAATTGTTCCCAATGGGGAAACTTTTCTTTTGCTGAACTCTCCTCACCCACTTCCCTTCCAACAGCTTGACGAAAGAAAGATGGTGCATGCTGGCGAGAAACGTGAGGTTGTGCTGCTGCGGCACGAAAACAACGAGAGTCCAATGCGACGGACACCAAGTCTGAAGATAGGAATCCAAAGTTTCCCATGCTTGGGCCTTCCACAGTTTGAGGTCAACCAGCTCGCACAGATCGAGGACGAACGTGTGGCTCTTTATGGCAGCCACTGCTTCCTTTAGCTCTGCACCCCTGATGTCCGCCTCCAAAGGGTCGTTAGCGAACGGCGCGATGGATGTCGCGTCCCCCGTGTCTTTCCATTTAATGTGAACAATGCCTTCGGCAATGGTGACCTCACGGCTCTTCAGTCTGCTCCCATTCAACACGGAGAGAACCTTGTTTCTCCAGTCGACGAACAACTTCTTGTGGCCCGCCAACTTCTCCATCACCTCAATCGAGTTGTCCTAGTCGCAACCCATGTATGGCGGGCAGTCCTTGAACAACGCCGAGTCGGAAACGTGTTTCCTGTTGTTATCCCACAACTCGTCATCCAATCCCTGACTTTCAAACTTCCTGAACACTGCAGACCTCGATTTTAGGAAAGGGTACCTTTGGATCCAATCCCAGTTCGGCCTCTTCTCGTGTTTGAATTGGTAGTAATTCCACAACGGGACCAGCACGCGGTTGCACTTCACCAACTGCACCATGTCCTGCACGCTGAGCTTCCCCAACTTCGGCAATGACGGGGAGCCGGCCTGGACCCAAACGGCCTCACAAGCAAGCACCTTCTTAAGAACGCGACACTTCTCATTATCCGTGAGTGATTCCATTGCTTTCCAACAATGCGCGTCCGGGTCGGGCACTTGCACAAACCAATCGCCCTCCTCTTTCTCCTTTTTGCCTTTCTTATTTGGTGGGTCCACGGGGACGTTGTACACCACCTCAGTTCTGCCCAACTTGTCGTTGTGGATGTAGGCGACCCCAGGCTTGACGTTTTTGACCTTCTTCTTTTTTACGATCCACTTCGCTCCGTCGTGGCTCAGCAATCTACCCGTCTCCCACTTTTCGAAAAATTCCACGGCCAGTTTCCAGACATTTTTTCCGGCCATTGGGAGAGGGAAATAAGAACGCAGGGCAGCATTTTGCTTCTTAAGGGTCTCCTCTTCCTTTTGATCCGCGAGAATCCACAAGTTGTTGTGAGGCGCCTTATGGAGTGCCGTTGTACAAAACTTACGCCAAGCCCGGACCTGATCTTGTTTCCCGCTAGGGTTCCCCATCACAGCTCTCGGGCAGCCGTCATGCTTCCACTGCCACCGAATGTCTTTCATAGACAGTTTCAACTGTCTGGGAGGCGCCTTCAGGTCCTTCTTGTTGTCCTGTGAACTAACAAGAAAATACCCTTCGAAGTCGTCGTCCGAAAAGTAAACCATTCGCGCCGGCCACCGCTAGAAATTGTACTTCTTGGCCACCTCGCTCCCGAGCAGCGACCGGGCTGCAGCCGCGTTATGCTACCCGCACACCGCATAGTAGTAGTATTCTCCCGCCAGCTCGTCCTTCCACTCCTCCGTCTTCAGACGTTGTGCCTTGGTCCCGGGAGTTGGTTTTTGAAGCCCCAGTGGTGCGAGCTTGAAGATCGGCAACTCGTACGTCTGCTCCTTATTTTCGAACGCATACTGCATTGCTTCTTTTATCGTTCCCACGAGGACAGAATCCAGCGACCGCTGGTTGTAAAAATCCTCCCACTCCCCGAGGTCGACGATCTGAGCCGGGCTAATCTCAAACTCCCGCCTTGTCCTGACGCTGTCTTTGTACTCCAGGAAGTACCCGTCGTCCACGTCGATGGCAGGCCTTGTCGTGGAAGGTCCTGACGCAGGCTGTTTCTGTTTTCAAGCCGGACGTTTGCTACTCGGGTGGTCCTCCTCCACCCCCCTTCCCTTCTGTTTCTCTCCCGTAGTCTTCGGGGTCCTGGTCTTCTGTTGCTTCGAAGAGCCTACCAAGTCCTCTTCACAATCTCCCCTCCCCTGCGCTCCCTCACCGCCCTTGTCGTCCGCGTCATGGCCCTCGGCGGGCTCCAAGTCGGACCCACATTGGACTGCCTCTTCTCCAGAATCCGCTGCGACCTCTTGTCGAACCGGGGTCTGTAGCCGGACCCCAGGTATAGACAGCACGGACCGGTCTCTTTCCCTCGACGATGAAAACGGCGGAGCTGGTGTCACCTCATCTTCGCTGTTGTCAAGCTGACCTCTTGCATCCTCCCGCTGCACATGTGTAGCCTCGCCGGAACCCAGATCCCCCCTCTCCCCCGCTGCCCCGCTCGACTCACAACCGCCGCACGGCTGCAAAGGCATTGACAGTTCCAGGTCGGGACCGACTTCGCAAGGGACGTCGAGGGCGATGTCCTTGTCCTCCAATAAGTCGAAGAACTCTCGACCCAAAACAAACCCGCCCTGCTGCCGGAGGTCGTTGCAAAACGGGGTGTTCGCAGCACCCGCTCCGAACCCCTCGAACAGACACATGTCGAGAACTGCCCCCTTGGCACCGGCGACGACGTTCCCCTTCGAACCGTACACATTTTTCATGTAGAACCATCGACGACTGTCTTTCGCATTCTCCCACCACAAGACAGCCCCCAGAACCCTGCGGCGCTTGTTGGCTTCGACGAAGATCACAGGACCACACGGCTGTTGAACTGGGTTCGAAGCATCACCACAGCACCAGTCGACGAACCATTTCGACCTTGCGTGGTCTAACCACGACCTCGATGTCGTAGATGAATGTTTTGTGGAATCTTTCCCTGATCCCATCCCGGAAGTCGCTGCAGGCTCCCCCTCGCCCCTCGACGAAGACATCTTGTTTGCGGACGACAACGGAAAACAAATGAACCACCAGAGAGCGTCAAGTCGCCGACAAAATACAACGCAGGCAAAAAACACAGGCGGCAAACATTGCGCCCAACACGTCGGTCACATGACACCGTTCCAGGACCTCGAAGTTCGGATCCCGGCGAACTTTGGACGCGAAGACCTTTAATGACCTCTTACTTGCAACGAGATCAATCTTTAAAAAGGGACACACGTCATGCGGCCGGGCGACAACCACATCGGTATTTCCGAAACACAGATGCCGACCGCATGGGGAATGAACGGGAGGTCATGTTCGAAGCTCGCGTTGGACGGGGTAGTGTCCTCCGCTTAGCACTCGGAACCCGGACAGGCTAGGACGCCAAGTCCGCCTGGGTCCCGACTAAAAGATGGTGCGACAGAAAGAGAGAAACAGCCAGCCCATGTAGCCGGCGTTCCTGAACCGTGCTCGAGCGAACATACTCCGCAACTGCATTTGATCAAAACCAGAAGTCGGAGACAGACTCTCCCCGTCGCCGGGCGGGTTGTGCGAACCACCGGACGGGCATGTCCGAAGACAAACCAACGCACCTCCCGAAAAGTGAAGTTCGCCGGGATCCGAACTTCAGGACGATGCGACAGGCAGAGACGGCGTCATGACACACGGTCCGTGGACTCAACCACGACCTGGGAATGCCACACAGACATGAGAGGCCGGTTGAGAAGGATAAGTTTGCCGAAATCCGAACTTCTTCTGATATGCGCAGCAGCCGTGACAACATTGTATGGGTCCCTAGTGGGGCAGAACGAAACGTGTGGAGCAGGGCGGACAGGAGCTGTTGTCTCAATCCACGGGGGATCAGGAAGACCAGTGTCTGTCCAATAGACAGGCGTCACAGGAAGTTCGCCGGGATCCGAACTTTAGGACGCTGTGAGAAAGACACACAGAGAGAAACACTTGATCACGTATGAGGTTGGATGCAAGTCGGGGTCCGAGCAAGGTGTTTGTGGGAGAACCCGGGGTCTCACAACTGACCAGTGGTTTTGATGGCAGTAGTCATTGAGTCCGTCTATGCTCAAAACAGATCAAGATGCAACAAGAGGGTCCGTAAACCGGGATCTCTAACGGGTTTCAGGAAACGTGAAGCTCGCGCGACCCTGCGCTCATTCGCAACTGGGATCCCTAAGAGTGCTTTTGGCATTTCGCAACTGGGATCCCTAAGAGTGCTTTTGGCATTTCGCAATGACAATGATCGACTGTTTGGCACATGTCGATGGTGGTCGGGCGACAACCGAACACGGATAGTGTTTCTGAAGTTCGGTTGGTGGCGGTCTCAGATCGCGAACGTCGGCAGGCAGAATTGGTCGCATAACCTTTTCGAAGGCCGTGGCCTCAAGCAAGACCGTGTTGGTGGTGCCTGGCGGTTCTAGCGGTCCGCCCGACGCCAGCAGTACCAAAGTCAAATCAACGCACAACCCAAAACTTGAAGTTCGCCGGGATCCGAACTTCGCAGGGGCGCGAAATGGAAGGAGACGGCGTCAGAGATAGACCTCCAACATGATTTTCGTTGGTCGTTGAACTGATGGACGATCAGGGATTTGCACGAAGAGTGCGCGATGTAGCGTCTACTAGCAACTGTTGCCTCTCACACCTCCCTCCAATGCTACACATCTAATATTATAGGCAGCAAAACAGCATCTCATACCTCTCCCTTCTTTTCCCTTAAACACCAGGATTGACTACCAGTTCAAATGTGCCGACATTCGGGGTTCCCCTGGGACGACGTCGTGAAACCGAAGCCATACAAAGCATTCATTGATGATCCGTATACGTGGACCTGCGGTTCGTCTACCGATGCCCTCTCCGAAAAGACGGACATGTATTTCATCCTAACAAACACTCCCTGTCGTGCTAAGGAATTCCCTATACAGTCCCGTATATCGGACACTTTCTCCTCGACCTCACGATGCAACGAAAAGTTTTGGACCCGCCCTACTATCACCAAATCGCGCCACCCATCTATACTTTCAGGCCCGCGCGTCCGCACGAATTTGGACCCCTCAATCACCACCTCGTTCCGTGATACAAGCATAACTGCATCGACGAGTTTCCTGCTCATGTTCGAAGCAGCGATACATAGAACTCTGGCGAAATCAGTCCCGGACACAGTCAATCGCACACAACAGTATGACACAGCTTGTGGAGAATTCTCGGGGCACCAGAGCGGGTACTGCTCTAGGAAGGAGCAGTGGCGAGCGCAGTCCACCAACTCTTGTTTCCGCGGGCCTCCCCAAGTTCGTGGCGACGACCTGACGTAGTGGCACTCGAGGCGGCTGAAATGGCGACTAATGCAGCCCAGTTTCAAGAACTTGTGTCCGAGGACAGCGTCAGACACCGGCATGAGGTTCCCGAACTCCAACATGTTGGCGAACTTGTACTGGCTTGCCCAAGGACAGCGACTCTCCATCGTGGCCCAATTCCCATCGCACCAACCGTCAATATGTCGTCCCATGCACGGGATGACGGTCATCAAGGGGTCCTCGTCGAAGTCCTCTGCGGTCGCTCCGTGGATCGTAGTTACACCGTTAAAATACCGCACGGATCTCGCGCAAGGACGAAACAGTTCTGCCAAGCGAATGTGCGTCTCGGGACTCATGGTTAGTGGTGTCGAGAACATCGACTCCATGATTCGTGGTGTCGAGAAGGTCGCCTCCATTACTCACCCTACACACCACGTGCATATACCAAACGAGACACACGGGCACGGAGACACTCGTAAACACGTCGTGTTTCGCGATCTGTGTCCTATGGCATTAGACGGAGCGCACGCTCGAAGATCTGAATTCGGGTGGTCGACTTCGTTGATGTTCACTTCTGCCAGCCAGTAGGCCAGCCGCAAACATGTCCCACGAGAGGCGGGAACCTCATGTCCGCCGTGATCTGAACTTGGCGAGACTGCGCGGGAGAGACAAAGGTGTCTCTCAAACTCACCGTCCCAAACTTTCCTGAAGTTCGGATGTCGGCGGACTTCACATTTTTACGAATCCAAAGTTGTGGCAATCCACCGGGCGCTAGAAACTCCACAGTCAGAACCCACACCACCCGAAAATTGAAGTACGCCTGGGTCCGAACTTGACGACCGCACGAGGAACCGTCCACAGCAGGTTCGGATCCATGGCCCAGCAGGCGGGTCGGAAACATGAATTGCGAAAGTAGGAAATCTCAAGTTTGCCGGGATCCGAACTTGGCGAAATCGCGTGGCAGAGACACTGTCGGCGAAGTCAATGATGGGACGAGGAACCGTGCACGAGAAGTACGGGCTGTGGTTGCGGGCAGTCAGAACTCGGCGAACTCGGCAATTGAACGAGGAACCGTTCGCGAGAAGTTCGGATCCCAGCGGACTTCAAATGTGTGCGAATCCGAGGTTGTGGCGATCCCCCAGGGGCCAGCAAGTCCGCATTCTGAACCCAAACAATGCGAAAAGCGAAGTTCGCCGGGGTCCGAACTTGACGTATGTGCGAGGAACCGTGCAGGAGAAGTCCGGATCCCAACGGACTTCGCATTTTCACCAAACCGAAGTTCACCAAATTTTGTTGCAAGCGAGGTTCGGATCCACAGCCCAGCAGGCGGGCCGCAAACATGTCTTCTGAAAGGCGGGAACATGAAGTTCATCGAGATCCGACCTTGGCGAAATTGCGTGGGAGAGACACACCTGTCTGCCAAACTCGCCGTCCAACAATTTCTTGAAGTTCGGATCCCGACGGACTTCGAATTCCTACACATCCTTAGCTGCGGTTGTGGGGCGGGGTTGCGAAACGTGTTCGAACAGGTGCACAAGCTCGCCGGAATGCGAACTTATTCCCGTGTTTGATTGCGCGATCAGTTCAGTTTGATTACGCGATCAGTTCGCCAAAGTTCGACGTCCGACGAGGTTCGACGCCCGCCGAGGTTTGATGTGAAGCCAAGTTCCATGCCCAACATGGTTCGCTGTTATACAAGGTTCGATGAGCAACAACATTGTGTGATCCGTTCGCGGGCACATGATCAATTGCCTTTTGCGATCCTTTCGCGAGCACATGATCAATTGCCTTGTGGATTCTCTGCGAAGAACGGATTTGTCGCAGATCGGTCGCTCGATGCCGTTGTTCCAACGTCTGGAGATTGATGATCTGGTCGGCGAGCGACCAGTCTATCGAACTTGTTGACAGTCTTCGACAAAACACTCGATTGGTGAGGAGATCTGCCAGGATCAACTGTTTGATCGGGTGCTCGGTTGGCGATTGGTGTGCTGGTTGATCAACCAGTCGAGCAACCGCCAACAGAGCACCCGATCAAACAGTTGATCATGGCAGATCTCCTGACCAATCGACTGTTCACTCGTCGACGGGTTGATCGAGCACGCGCACACGCAGACGCACAGACGCACGCACACGCACATCGCCTGCAGGAACACATAACAGGTCACGGTGCTAAAACAATACTCGCACACACACGCACACACACACAAACACGCACATTGTCGCGGTTTTGATGTTGTCATTGAGACAATCGAAACACACACGCCGTGACAACGTCAGGACAACACACACGATCAATCGACCGATCACGAGTAATCTGTTAGCGTTTCGCAATTGGTCAGATGGACGCGTTTGCGATCCCGATGATGTCTCCTCGTGCACTGATTAATCATCCGTTAGGCGGATGACGGGCGATATTGTTGCGACAACAAACAACATCAATCACCCGATCGCGAGTGGTCGGCTTATGTTTCGTGATGGGTCAGTTCATCGCGTGTATGTTCTAGACATTGTCACCACGTGTTCGAGCGGAGCTCGCTCTGTTGGTCGGTTGAATGCGGCAGAAGCTCGCACACTCTCACACACACACAAAAGAGAAAAAAACACACTCGGTGATAACGTCGGCAGGCCAAACAAGATGAATCGATTGATCACGATTGACCTGATCGTGTTTCGCGATTGGTCGACGGATGCGTTCGCTGTGTCAACATTGCCACCGCGTGTTTTGATCGATCATCCATTGGGCAGATCGGCGGATATGACATTGGGACAGCACAAAGGATCATATCGAGTGTGGTCAGTGCTCAAGATGTGATTGTGTTATGTGATTGGCCACCGCGTGTTCGATACGACCTTTCGTGATTCGCCAGTCGAGCACCTCAGGAGCACACTGGAATACCGTTCTGCCTTAAAACCTGTGCAATCGTTGGGTATTTTGCACCTCTCAACCCCGATTGCTGCAGAAGCAGAGTGGAAGTGCAAAACATGTCAATCATCCCAGACCACACACCTTCGCGTGCATCTCCGCGCGTTCAATGTGCTCAATCACACACACACGCGCAAAAATATGCACAAACAGGCACACGCACACACACATACACACACACCCTCACACGCCGCCCACACACACACGCGCCCCTCAGACACTGACACGCGCACGATCCTACCTCGCGCGTGTGGCATACACGTCATACAACCACACACACAATAAAATACGCACTCGAATACGCACACACAAAAACAATCACACAGACACACACGCGCACGCACAAACACACACTAGCACACAAACACACACACATCCCGGCTGCGGGCGCACTCACCGTGTGATACTATCGAGTGGAGATTCGCGCGATCCCCGCTGTCAATCGAGACAGCACTCTGTCGACCTTTTGGCTTGTGCTTTTTGTTCGCGAGTGTGCTGCGTGGAGTGCTTTGTGTTTGCGAGCGTAGTGCGTCGAGTGGTGGGCGCCGGAAGTGTCGACACGCGACGTCGAATATGACGTGGACAGCGACTTCGAAGGTGGAGGGAGATGCGAGGGCATGCGGGGTGCATCAGTGCCAGGAAACGAGCGCAGTGAGGAATGGTTGTCCCTACTCTTTGCCAGCTATGGCACTCTGGCTCTGCGGGGTGGTGTTGTTGACGACAGTGGCGGTGCGAGGCTTCCGTCGAGCAGCATCTCCCTAGCAAAAACACAGAACGCATCGTTAATGCCCAGGCACCGCTCGTACTTGTAGGCGCGCGGGACTCGAGGCCCCCTCGGGCCTTCCGCTTCGGAATTTCGCGCAGGGTCTGTACGCCACCGCACGACTGTTCGATCCCCGCATCGAACGGTGGCTGCGCATCGAAATTTCCCCGACGGGGACCTAGTGAGCGCGACATGACAAAAAAGACCCTGTGGGCTAGCCCTTCCCGGGTGTCATTAAAAAATAGAGCCCTTGTTCCTGGCCACTCGCGTTCGTGTCGTCGGGTTCGCGGGCCCCGCTCGAGGGGGTCTCAGGCAGCGCGGGGGGGCAGCTTGTATTTTGCAGTCCGTTGGTGGGGGGGGCGGTGGGGGGCCGCGGGAGGGGAGGTTGGAGGGGTTCACGGGCATTCGCATCTCCTGCCTGGCGAGCGGGGTCTGAGGCTGCGCGGGGGGACACAGGCGGGTCTTTCCATGGGGTGCGACGACAGTTTGGGGCTCCGCTACGTGGGGTCCGGTGCAGCGCATTCGCATCTCCAGCCGTGACGAGCGCATTCGCTCGCCACGTTCCTTCGGCGACCTCCTCCATCGCCTTTGCTGCTCCGCTGTTGCGCCACGTGTCTGCGCTTCGACATTCCTTCTTTGTGTTCTGCGTTAGCAAGTGGCCGCCGTGGTCTGCGCTCAGCCCTTGTCGAATAGTCGCGCCATCGTAAGCGCTTCGCCATCGTCGAAGAACTGCGCCTCATCTAAGAATTGTGCCTCGTCAGAGAGCTGCGCCATCGTGTGCGCTGTGCCCTCGTTAAGGTAAAGTGGTTTTCTGCCTGCCCGCGTGTCAGTCGTCGCACATGTTTGTCGGGGCATGGGAGTAGCCGCATCGCGCCACGTGTCGCAAGTTGCGGGGACGGCGGGAACGGATGTCGATGACATTGGGGCACATGGTTTTTGTATGCCCTTTTGCTTCCAAGTAGGGGAGAAAATAGAGGAACGGAGGGGAGCGCAAGAAGGGGAGGAAGAAGGGGAGGAAGAGGGGGAAGAAGAGGAGGAAGGGGAGGAAGCGGGAGAAACGGAGCTACTTGATTTGCTTGAAGAAAGGGAGGGTGCCGGAGCTGGAGAAGGCGAAGTGGAGCACAGTGAGGACGATGCAGGATCTAGAGAGTCGTCTGACGAGTTCGGACAACTGTATGGAGAGCATCACAAGGATGATGTCGACGACGATGCCACGGCAATAGAGATGGAGACAGAGGTCGTTAGCAGCCTTTCCGCACAGCCTGAAGATTATGCGGTCCGACCACTGACATCTGCTGTCGACTTGCAACACCGCTTTGACGAGGCTTCCGTCGCTATCAGCCCGTCTAAAGCAAGTCGGCGTATAAGCATCGACGAAGTTATCGACGGTATCCTCAACGAACACAACGTGTCTGCCCGTCCGTTCACAACGCCTGACGTCGACGACACTGGCAACGTCACGTCTTCCGTGGCAGCTGCCCTCGCTTCGTCGCCGCCGAAGTCTCTGGTCCTGCCGACCACCCTTGTCGTCGGAGAGGAAGGCGAGGTCGGGGGACGACAACATGTCACGTCCCCAAAAAAATCGAGGGTCGTTGGTCAAGCTCTCGACATGCTCGCTTTGCCCGCACTAAATTCCCCATCGAAGGAGCGGAGAGAGAAACAGACTGGTAAGCCGTGAAGAATGCCACACTGCCTGCGTGTCCGGATGTCGTCGAATTATAGTCCGCGCTGTACACACGACGACTGTCCACACTATCTGTCGATACGGGAAGTTCCGGATGCCGCCATACTACAGCCACCAGCCATTCCTAATACATCTCGTCAGCTTAACTGTCACTCAGCCGGGTTGCTGGTCGAGGGCGGCGAAAAGTTCGTCGACAAACTTACACTCCATCCAAGGAAGGATCTGCCCCGGTTGAGGAAGTGGCCAAGGGGCTAAGAAAGTGGCCAAGTAGATGGACGGTTTTCCCTTCTCGGGAATAGTGTCGGTTTTAGTCCGCTGGGATCCGAACCTCCTTTGTCAATGCGTGATGTGGTCAGTCTGAGTGGGGCTGGTGTATTGAAAAGTCCGCCGCAGTCCGAACTTCGAGGATTGCTGGTCTTTGGCTTCTGTGACTTGTGGTGGTTTTCCTTTGCGAAGTGCGGGGGTGTTAAGCTCGAATGTTGCAGTCGTTTTATTTTCCAGTAGCACAACCGCACCTGGGTGCACATGACCACGCGAAATCAAGGTCCTATGGTCGGAAAGGTCCTGCTTGACTGTTGCATCTGTGCGATTGTATGGTTCTCATTTTTCGTTCTGTCTTTCTTCTGTTGTACAGGGGTGGGGTCGTCTCGAACACGGAGGTCCTCCAAATATCATGAGCACATATTGCAGAAAGTCCCTAAGTTGACTACAAAACACAAGGATATGTTAAAGGCATTAGGGGTCGATGTCGAGATCGGGAAGAAGAAGTACACCGTTGCCATTGAGGAATGTCTTTCCCTTCTTGCCCCAGAGAAAGGGACATATCCACGATCTGTGAGTAGGGGTCAGGCCATGTATGAGAAGTACTTAGCAAGGCGTCATGCACCAGGGGACAATGCCTAGAACTTCGTTTCTCACTACCCCACGTGTCCTTCGCTCAATGTTGTGCAGTGCGGGCCTCAAGTGCAACACGCGGGAAAAGTTTCGCTGCAGCAATTGAGCCTCTGAGCTTGCGGGTTTTGGACGACATTGTACGAGGCTCGGTGCCGTCTCACACTGTTCTCTCTATACTGGGCGATGGTCAATTTCGGATTGCAGCAAAAGATCTCCTCACCCTACTGCATGTCGACGGCAGGGTGAATGATGAGTTGGTCAATTTCTATATGGCGTTGTTGGGGTCAACCGCATGTGGGTCACATGACATATCGTCGGGCCTTCAAGTCTTCAGCTTTAATTAGTTCTTCTTCAGTAAACTGCGACTTCAAGGACACGGTGGGGTGCGGAGGTGGGCTAGAAACGTAGATTTGTTTTGTTACGATATTGTCCTCGTTCCTGTCCGCAAAGATGATGATCACTGGATCCTCCTTTTCGTCAACATGAGAGATGATGTTCTCGAGATTTTTTATTATTTTCCTCGCGTTGTAGCTGATACTAGTTTTTACCTTTGTGTTTTCGGGTTGATTGTGCAGTATTTGGAACGTCAAACATCACATAGGCGGTCGGGTAGGAGTTGGAAGTCGATAGTGAGAAATGTTGTGGTGGATGGAGTTCCGAGACAAGTGGCTGGAGCAAGCTGTGGGGTGTTCATATTGATGTATGGGACGTTGTTGCAACGTGGAGATCAACCGCCTTTCCGGTTCTCTTATAAAGATATTCCGCTTCTTAGACGACAATTCGCATCATGTATCTTAGAACATCGTTGTCTTTGATGGATTTGATTGACTTGGAAACTCTTTTCTTAAGGTGTTTCATTCATTGTTCGTTGAATTTTGTAAATCGAGACATTATTCAACTGTCCTTCTGCCAAAGACATTGTTTTCTTTTGTCGTTTCGAGTTTGGGTTGTCTATGGCTTGTCCTACGTCATGTATGGGCTTTGTGATCTCTGTCCAACTGGAAGTGTAAACATGATTGTGAAACTGATTGGTGGATGCATGAGAAATGTCATCTTATGTGAAATTGGTTAGTGGATGCCCAAACCTTCTTTGCATTACCATTTAAAGTGCGGATATTCATCGTGAATGAGCACAATTTAAAGTTCTACACTTGTACATAGAACATCGAAATAAATTGGTTATTAAAATACACCTTGTCCATCACAACTGTAAACAAGTATGTTCCTCAATGCCCTCATGTCGGGCGAGATGATGACCGTGCCTATATGCGGAAGTCCGAATTTCTTCAACATCCAAACAATCGTCTCGGGTCAGACGATGGGTGTGCTTGCATAAATTAGGGATAACCTGGTAAACGAAAATTTGATGTGTTAACCAACAACGGTTCGATTATGACACCTTGCTCATCACATACGTAAGTTTTGAGTTTAACAAGTATGGATCTCGACACACTCCCGCCCATTGTCAGGGTCACAAGTCTTCTAAACAAGTCCGGATCTCATCATATATCTAAACAACCGTCTTCAGCAAGACGATGATTCTGCGTGTGTAACTTTGGGATAACCGAAAGAATTATACTGAGTCTCTCCAATTCAATTTGATTACATTGCTAATTTTGCTTACAAAGTTCAACAACTATGGATGTCAGCAAACTTTCGCATTTGGGCCGAGTGGATGGGCATGCCTATGTGGAAACACTGCAGTCAAAAACGAATTCGTAAGAAAGAGGACAGTGTCACAATATAATATCTTTCATCACGTTTATGAAATTGAAGTTTGACAAGTAAGGATCCCGGCACACTTCGGCACAGGGTTCCCTGTGTGGCGTGCCAATCGTTATTCGTTTATGAAGTTTGAGTGGTATGGATCCCAATACACTTCCCCACAGGATCACCAGCATGTTTTTGAAGTTCAACAAGTAAGGATCCCAACACACTTCCGCACAGGGTTCGCGGGTGGCGTGCCTAACATGTGTGGGTCTCTACACGCTTCCGCATTTGGGATTTCAATTATAAAGTTTCACAAGTGCGGATCTCAGCACGCTTCTGTATATGGTTAAGCCCTGGATGGGCATGCCTACGTTGCTTAGGCTGCAGCCACAAATGAATTCGTTAGAAAGAGGACACAATATAATGTC